GATCACCTTTTCGTGATATGTTACAGGATGTAAGATCTTCCACCGATTCATAGTTCTGACTACTTCGAACTAGGGGAACAGGATTTTTCAGTAATCAAAGGAACACATCTTAGTCCTTGTTACTTTTTATGCCTTGTTGATAGTGACAAGACTCGGCTTTGTCCACCAAGGATGATTTTAAAACAAGGAAAAAATGAGTTAGTCTTGTTCCGTGTTGGGCTGGAGGACAGCAATCTCTGTGAATGTGGACAAGGCTACCAGGACGCCGATCATATTATTTGGTCATGTTCTGAGCATCGTGGAGTCAGATCTGAGCTGTACGATTCCCTTCGGGCTCGAGGTAGACAACCTAATGTTCCAGTTCGGGATATTTTGGCTAGACGTGATCTGGAGTTTATGAAACTCATATATGTTTACTTTAAGAATATTAACCTTAGATTGTAAGTTTGATTAACCTTGTGTTTAGTTTGTATTTTGTACGTGTGGGTTTTTTATGTTTGTTTTCAAGATGAATAGAAATAAGTTCATGTTTTAGGATTAATTAAACATTTGTATCGTAAACCACATTTCAAACCTCCTTCTCCCTTTTCCCATCCAAAAAAATTGTAAATCTCCACTAACCTCGAGACAACCGCGAGTATCCGGTCCCGCTCCTTTAACTTTAAATATAAGACATCAATAATGTATAACGAAAATGATAACTCGGCTCTGTAAAGTTTATTCGATTGAGCCTGTACAAATAAAGTAATTAATAAAAAAAAATTTGTCAATAGTGATGGAGCCATACGACATGCACTAAACTAAGGACAAACGGCGCCGGTGGTGTAGTGGTAAGCGTGATTACCTCTCACCCCAGCAGGCCTGGGTTCAATACCAGTCGGCGCCGCCGGGATGTTCTGAGGCATAAAATCTCTGATCACGCCTTCCTTCGGATGGGAAGTAAAGCCGTTGGTCCCCGGTTCATGAGTTGATGGGTCTATAGGTAGGGTCTAGGTGTGGGAGCTGCCTTCCTGGCACGTCGGTAGCATTGGTGCTCAGCACGGAAAACAAGATCGACGGAAAAAACAAACCAAAGGAAACTAAGGACACGGGATCTACTACAATATATCAAATTACTGGTCGCAGTGGTGTTAGGTCCCGAACAAAGGAAAAAAATAAAATACGTCTCTTCATGAGGGGGGGGGCAAGCCAACCAATAGAGGGCGTCTCATTTTCTAAATGGTATCGGTGAGTGCAGTTACACGGAGACCAAATTCGTTAAGTTAAGATAACAATCCTAATAGTGACTTTCACATGGGAAAATATTGTTGTTTGAAAGAAACCTATAGTTATTCCAACATTAATTTGACCGTCAACTCAATCATATCTACCTAATAGATTCAACTGTTCATCTTATACTCAATTCAACTATAATTTGATCAATTATAACAACCGTCAAATGTAATTTATTTATATAATTTGGTTTCAAGTGATCATCATAAATCTACATACTTTGAACTTGTGATGCGTAGAGCAGGCCATAAGATAGCTGGCTCTCACGCAGATGAACACGGTTCAAATCTAAGTTGAATGTTCTTGTTCACTTTTTTATGATTTTGCAGTTGTGTTTTTGAGATCGATAAAGAAGCAAAACAAACTTTATTTAATATGTCGATAATGAAGAGCAGTTCGTTTAATGAACATTGTAAAATTTTGCTTTTCTAACAATAGTTTTCTTGAATCAACTAACGCATAGTTGTATTTTGAAGTTTGGCGTTTGTTCATCTACTGAAAAATATAGTTGAGCCAACCGAGGAGCCAACTATGGACTATAGTTGTTGCCCTCTATATATAGTCAAATCAACTATAGTTTCGGGTTATCTCTAAAAGAATTGAACAATATAGTTATTTTGACCGGAAAAATAATTGCGTCTGCTATAATTTGTTCTCCGTGTATGGCCGTCGTAAATTTTGAGCAAGATAGTATTTATAAACAGTGGATGCTGAACTTGTTGACATTAAGGGGACAATAGCTGACACCATTGAACTGCGAACCGTGCAATGCAGATGATCCTGAAATCTTGAGAAAACGTCCAGAGTATTTTACAGAGATTTTAAAGCACCTAAAGTTTTTGAAATTATTTCTGAGCAACAGGAGAAAATTTATAACATATGAGATTAGGATTGCTGGGCAGATGAAGTTCTTCAAAATAGTACATGATGAACATGATGAAGTCTTGAACAAACAAAAAAAAATATTCTCAGATATTCCCTAAAATAACCGTATAGACAGCTTCGAGTAGACCCCTTACAGAACATAGTGAAATGCGTGGAGAAAGCACTGAAGAAGTGCAAATCAATATTAGGAAATGTACACACTTAGATTTTTTGCCGAGATAGTCTCTCAGTGGAAAACTTGCCGAGATTCAGCTAACAAACGGGAATTTTGGTGAGATCTCAGCGAACAAACATAAATTTAGCTGAATCTAGGCAAATTATTCACTGAGATCCAGTAAAATAAAATGCCGAGCTGCTCGGTGGTGCCCATCTCAGCAAAACAAATCTAAGTGTGTAGCAGGTCGTTTACGGTATACAATCCCATTCTATCCAGGATCAAAGGTCTCCTATGCACGATCTGCGAGAGATCGTGTCTGCACAAACTAGCGAAGTGGCTGGTCACAGAGTTCCAGAGTAAAGCAGTTAGTAACACCCAAGAGTTCAATCTTCAGGAGACATCAACGAGGACGAGATTATGGTATCTTTCGACGTCACAGCTCTGTTTCCCTGCGTACCGGTCAAGGAAGCGATCAACCATTTGGAGGACTGGCTATTAACACAACGAAAGTATGGAGAAACAAGGTTCGGACGTATGTACCTTAAGCTGACCCGCCTATGGAAGAGAACTACTTCTCTTCCAAGGTAATTTCTACAAGCAGCCGAAAGGAGTCCCATTGGGAAATCCCCTATCCCCCTTGATGTGTGAACTTTTCATGGTCAACTTGGAGACAATCCTGAACGAGAAAGGACTACGTTTTGGTTGGGCTCCCGGTAGTTGGGCTTTAGCCAACCTAAATCGAAGTCAACCGTCATTTCTGACAGTGCTGATTCATTTTTGAGGGGCTCATGTATGAACAATTTGGATAGTTGCTAAAGGATTGTGATGATAATAAACAATCGGTGTATCCCTCAACCAATTTTCAGCTGACAGCTCAGCCCAACTAACGAAAGCCTTTCACTAAGTGGGCTACGGGTTTAGCCCAATGAGCAAAAGTTGACTGTATTACCAAACCGTTGATGGAGGTTTGTCGACGATATCTTCAGCGTAGTTAAACGGGAAGCCCTTCCACAAATTTTAGAGATCAACAGAATTCACAAGGATATCAAATTCACTCACGAGGTAGAAAAAGACGGGAAACTCGCATTTCTCGATCTTCTAGTCATCAGGAAATCGTCATCATCTTCTTCGCTTGAATACGAAGTTTACAGGAAACCAACAAGCACCAAAAAAGTTATCCCTATACTTCCAACCTGAGTACTACGGACTCACTCAAGGTGCTTGTCACTTGGGAGCCAGAGTGAACTGTCAAGCAGGGAGCCAAACATTCAGAAGCAGCTAATGCAGTTACTGTTCCTATCTACCGTCAAACATTGTAATCTCATAAAAATGTTCTATACTTTTTCATACCACATTCTTAATTTTAAGCTCAAAGATAAAAACCAACCGGCTTAGTGATGACAGTATAAAAACCAGCATTGTTTTTATGAGGCAGCTGAGTTTTCAATTACAGTAAAACATAATTTGGCGAAACATGTATGTAAACAAACTTTGATAGAGTCATGGGAGCTCGAGCACTCCTGGCTCAGAGCTTTTGGTGGGAATCAACTGAGAAAGAGCAAATAAATTTTAAACTTGAGAAAATTTTCAAGCAGTTTTCCATTGGCTTGCAAAATAAAATTGGTCGTCTCCGCAGTACCCAGCTTCCAACCATTCGTTCCAGCAGAAAATGGCCGCCTTTCACCACATGATTCATCCTATGCAGACTCTTCCACTCAACGATATAGGAAAGGTTAAGGAATAACAGTACATCTCCGCAACAGCGAGACTCAACGGATACATGACCACAATCCAGGCAATCATCGGTAAAAAAGCGAAAATTCTTCAAAGGAGATTATTTACAACCTTCACCTCAGCATCTGAGCCCTTGAAAGGAGTGTCCGTTCCATTTGATCACGATATTACTTGTAAGCTAAGATCACAGTTAAAACAATTCGGATTAGATTTAGTTTTCACCAGTAGACATAACCAATTGAAATCATTGTTAGGATCCACTAAGGACCCCATTAATGTTTTAAGTAAAGTTTTAAGTATAAAATAAGCTGTAATCATTGTAACAAAGTATACGTAGGACAAACCAAGAGAACTTTAGCCACTAGATTTAAAGAACATATAGCGAAGGTTAATAAGACCAAAAAGCAAGAGAAAAAAGCCTAACATATGATTTTAAATCAAAGGTTGCAGAACACCACCCCTATTCTGTATTTCGTTTCGAACGAAATTCTCATACAAAAAAATATTTTTTTGTATGAGAATTTCGTTCGAAACGAAATACAGAATAGGGGTGCACATCTTCACAGAGGACCACCCACTATCGGCGGAGGACATCACGATTTTACGAACTGTATCTACACCATGGAAATTTGATGTTGCAGAGAGCCTCGAGATCAACAAACAACGCAATTCAACTTTACTCAACAGGGATCAAGGAAACGGACACACATGGCTTTTCAAGTTACTACCTAGGACACATAAACGAGTAAGCAGCGGACTACCTGTTCCTACAGGAAATTAAATTTCAGTTTACCTAGCTTCTAAGTGAAAATGTACCTGTGTTAGGGCATAACTATATTCTTATATTCTACACATCTCTACACAACTCAGTAGACCACACGAAAGTCTGTCTGTTTGTCTGTCCTAGAAAGTCGTGTTGCACGGTGTTGTCATCAAATTCAGCCTTCCTACAAACACTTTCATTCGACAATGTCTATTATTTTTATTGCTCTAACAGTCTATTGAAACATTCTGGCAGTGGGTTCCATCTTACTCAGAAACCCATTGTTGAACTCCTGTGCGCTCATCACTTTCTTTCCACCGATGGATAGCTGTTCAACGTCAACTGTGCTTCCATCCCGACAACCAACACGTAACCGCTTCCGCTTGCGGCAGTATTGAATCTGTCCTACTTGAAGAAACATTCCATCGCGGGATGCTTCCTCTTCCTCCAATTCTTGGTAACAAAGCTTGACAATCTTAACCGGTTCGCCTCCTAAGCGGGTTGTGAGAGGCCTATAAGAGTACAGAGATCGATATAGATCGTAGACCTGTTTGCCGCTCATTTCAGACCATCGAATTTCAGCGAATTGCGCGTCGATCTTTGGAGCTGGAAAACATGAAAACTAACTCATAACATCATTTCATATGCCTTTTAGCTGTAGCTCAATTTACCATAAGTCGCCTTCTGACTATCCTGAGCCGTGAAGGATGAGTAATAGTGATCGAGGTTTTCAATACAATGCAGCAGAGCGGAGGCACCGATTTCGGCTAGTTGACTATGAAGTTCTGGCATCAGCATGTGTTTGATGATTGGGACTTTTCTCTGAGTCAATATCTGTTAAATGTGATCACAAAATGTATCAATTTTGTTAAGCTTTGGTCGAGCAACTAATTTCTTCATGCACTTGAACGATAGCACAAAAGTTCATGGGTCTTTTAAATGATACACATCAAGCTACTTACCTCACCAACATCAAAATGATTCGGCTTGACCTTCATGATGGTGATTCCTGTTTCCGCGTCACCATTGCGGATGGCGTGTACAATTGGAGCAGCACCTCTCAGTTTTGGAAGCAAACTGGCGTGGACATTAAGCATTCCTCTAGAAATGGCAACAGATGATAATTGAAAATAATTACTCTGATGGTGGTTAGTAGGTACTTACAATCGAAACGAGGATATCAGCGATTCGGGAATCAAATGGCCAAACGAAACCACTACGCCGAGATCGAAATCCCTGTCTACTGCGGGCCGTTGAAGGGGCCAATCGTGAAGCAGGAGCCTCTCGGCTTGTGAATATTGTTTCAGTGGATTTCGTTTTGCTTTGAACGAGGTGACCACTTCCAGGGACGAAACCGTACCGTTTGATTTTCTGTAACATTCGAGTTGTATTGAAGAATAATTATAGCATAATACTTTAGAAGTAAACACCTACAAACTTTCATTAAGAATCTTTAAACTGGGAAGCGAAAAGTTGTCGGTACCGAAGAACAAAATTCTCCTTTTACCAGCAGCTGATGGGGTACAGCAATCGCGGGTGGTCACTAAACGGGACAAATGAAAACATTTTCTACGATATTCAAACACGTTGCGGCACATACTATCCAATATTTTCATTGATTTTGTAATAAATTGCTACACTGTTTTACTTTTAAACAGCGCGATTGTGTAAAGCACTGCGATGAAAAACAGCTGATTGCATTGCATGCGCCGCGATGTTCAGGAAATCAAAACAAACGCGAAAACGACCAGGTAAATAACTAGCGTCATTTTCGAAAAACTACCGAGCTAAAAATTGCTGTAAGAACTGTCAAAATCCATTTACTCTCTTCATCAGTGTTCGTGAGATTCTGCTTGGAAAACACTCATTTTTGACGTTTTGTCCAACTGGCGGAAAGCGCGTTTCTGTATGGTTTCTTTTCAAAGCGAAAATAGTGGTTGCTTCTTGCAATATTTAGTGCTGATTGAAAGCAAAATCGGCGAAATTGTATCGTAAATTTAGTGTTTATTCGTAGTGAAATTGGTGGATAAATGGTAGCAAGTGAAAGTGCTTGAAATTGGATATGCTATCGCTGGAAATCCTCGCCACAACGGTTGTGCCGGCAATGGCGCTTCTGTTCGTGGGGGCCATTGGTTTTGCAAATCTGTTTCTCAACGTGCGGTAAGTTGCATGAGTTCATTTCAATCTATTATTTTAATTTATTGTAGTGTGGTATACATATATGGAGAACGTTTTAAATTAATACTAGTTTGATGAACATTCGTTAATTTCAATTAAACCTTTCAATGTTATGGAGTCAAAGTCAAGAAATGATACAATGTCTTGTAGTACTAGAATGGGGGGAGTACAGGGCTTGAACGGCAAAATGGAACTCGATTTACAATGTTCAACTTTTTTTTTAGAAAAAGATTCCCAATCCGAGTGAACTGTTGGTTCTGTAACACAAACACCAGAGTCCCGTACGAAAGCAGTAACTCGTGGTGCTGCCAGAGCTGTACCCAGTATAATGGATTTACACAGGTTAGCATAATAAACCAAAGCAATAATTAAAATCAAACAACGTTTCCATTCTTCACTACAACTAAAGGACGGCGACTACAATCGTGAAATTCCGGCGCAGTACCAGTGTAGACTGAATCCCCGGTCGAACATCACCGACGATGATAAGATCAGCTATGCGGCACCATACAATGGACTCTGCTTCGGCTGTAATCGTAATCAGGAGTTGAAAATCCATCAGCTGGCTTCGTTCGTTCCGGAAGTGGAGGAAAACTACGACGAAGAAGTGAACGAGTACAGGCGGCAACTAGAGCAGGTCTACAAGTTGTGTTCCCGCTGTGAACGCGTGGTCAAGCGTACACTGAACGACGTAAAACGGAACATCCTTGGCTCAAAGCTGGCTCAGATCGGTACCAAGGGACTGAAGGTATTCGATTTGCACATGCAAGCGAATGAGAAGCAGAACACCTTCAGAAGACGAAGAACCATTGCCGATGTCTGTTTAGGAGTGATTACGATATTGCTGTTGATGAAACTTGGTCAATGGGTAGCACAGGTTGATCTGAGCAAAAAACGATTGGAAGCTGTGCTAAGTCCAGAAGCTTCACAAATAATCCTTATTGCAATTTCTTACCTGGTAGCCATTAAAGACACGCTGCTTGCTCAGTGGAACGGAATCATCGAACAACCCACCGTAGCGGACGGCATAATTCAACTAAAATGTGCCAAAAGCTTCATGTTCCACCATTGGAGTCAGAAGTTAGATATTTCGGAAACCGTTTCCGAAGCCCTTCGCGAGAGCCCGGACATAATGGTCCAAAAGCATGCACTGCCGAATCTTGCCCTAATTTGTCTCGCTGTAACGCTGTTGGCAATGAAGTTGCATGTTGGCAATCTGAAGCCGTTGGTGCTGATCGCATGCAGCAGTATTGAATTGTTGCTCAAGACTGATTACGTACAGGCAGTTTTCAGCAACCAGGTTCAAACTGAATCAGTCGAGGTAAATCATCAAACAGTGATGTTAGAAGTCGTTTATAGAAATTTGTGTTATATTTCAGATGCTGTTGGTGTTCATCTCTCTGGTAACGGCTCTCTGTTGCATCGGGCAAACTGCTCCCAAAATTCAACCCTCGGACAATGTCAACTCTAGCTTCCACAAGATCTATTCTCAGCAGGCAAATGATGTCGATTGTTCAGACACCATCGACGACACCAGCTCCATTCTACAGGATGCTTCCATCTGCTCGCGCAAAGAGTATCAATCAGAGAAACCTCCGGGTAATAATCTAAGCGCAAAATCGATGGATACCACTAAATCCATCAGTCCTTCGGCCCTGAGTGCATCTACTGTGCGCCCATTTTTGGATAGTTCCTTCAGCAGTCAGATTCATTCGCCTTGGTCCCACATGGGAGGATCAGTTTTGAATGTAAACCGATTGAATGCTACCTTCCACGAGCAATCAAATCGCAGTTTCAGTCGTTCAAATCTTGTCCTGCCGGAAGCTTCCCTCTCCAAGACTCCATCCATTTCGGTCGATAATTTTAACACTGCCATCGCCGGACCAAATGACTCTGCTCACCTCGGTCATGGTTTTTCCACAACTTCTCTCAATAATGCGACCCTCGTGGAAGAGGACCGATTTGGAAATGACATCGACCGTCTGAGCATAAGTGGTCGTCTTTCGGTAATGCAAAAAGATCTCACAATGGTAAACAATCCCTTCGCTACCCATCACGTTGATCGCGATGACGACTGCTATCTGCGCCAACGGAAGGTAACCATTTCTCCTCCCCAACTAGGTACCGTAGCCGAATCCGGTAGTTCCTGGATCGCAGGTGGCTACTGGGGAAACTCTCCGCAGAAAAATTATCCAGACAGCAACAGTGAAGCTCCAAATGGGGCATTTATCCATCCCTACATGTCTCGAACGTCATCACAAAGCTCCGGCTTCGAATCTCAACCAACACGTCGCCCATCACCGGAAGAATCAGCCGGTGTAGATCTCGATCGGGTATCGCTCTTCTCCGAACCGACTGGAATGTTTGCTTCCAATGTGAGCAGCGTGTCTGCCTTCCAACAGCCGAACCCTCGTCTGAATCAAACTTTCCATTTACCGTTGCCACAGTCCTCACCGGTGCATTCTCACGTGTCTTTCTTCAGTCGGCCTTCAAATTACTCAACAAGTGGCCGTAGCCTATTTGGAGAATGTAACCTTTTCCAATCGCAGCACAGCTCGCCGCAAGTGCCGTCGCAGGTCTTTCCTCCACATCACTCGCAAACACCGACATTTGGCGGCACTTCCAACCTATTCGCCCATGGGAGCTTTCCATCCTCTCCGGGTGGACATCTGGGGGGACCGAAGAAAGCCTTTAGCACTGTTGGCGGTGGCGGCAGTACGCGCCGCAGTCTACTGAATCTGAGTATGCTGGGGGGATTGGCAGAAGAGGGAAAACGGGTCGAAGAGTAGATTTGCGTTAGATCAGTTTTTATTTCGCCTTAGTTCGATGTAAATGTTTAGGTTTTTTTTTATTAATAAGTTCGTAATAGTTGTGTTTGTTTTTGTCGTGATATAGACTGATAAATAGCGAGGTATGAAATTTTGTTCCGAATGACATATTATATTAACATTACTCATCAAGATAGTAACACAATAAGTCAATCACTAAGCTGGAAAATATGGGTGATAGTCATTACACAACAAAAGTTGGAAAAGTAAGCAACCCATCGCAACTAACACTGCCACATTTTTGTAAACTGCTACTGTAATATTACTTAATTAAGTACAGGCATTTTGGAAAGGGACAGATAGGTACTTTAATAAAATAAAACAAAAAAATTTCGGCCGCTATTGAACCCGAGATTAAACTATTCGACGTAACTTTTCATATAATTTCCGTTATACTTTATATCACATTATTCTCCTCTTTCTTTCTTTCTTAGTGCGCCAAAAGAAAATGCGAGAATTCTCATGCAAATGTCTTAGTAGGCCTGATATTTTTAGAGTGCTTTGTTCGCTTATTTGCTGCTCAGTCGATGCTTTTCTCGTCGCTGCTTGAGTGTGAGTGCGTGAAAATTCCGAATTAGAGGAAATTTGGGGCAAGATGGCACTAACGAAATTCCCTGCGCTTTGGTCAGATAGCGTATAGGGCGTCGTTGTGCCAATTTGGTCGTGGCACATTTTGAGTATGAGAGAGTGATTTCAGTTTGTTTAAAAGTGCCTGAGTAAAAAGCAAGTACTTTCGATGATTACCCGTAGTTGTTACAGTGAAGATATACACCCATATTCTCGTTTATGTCTAGGCGTGTTTGCCATACAGAAACATTTTTATTTGATTTTGTGTTGTGGATGGGTTTCGGGCGTGGACGGGCATATGGGTGATAATATAAAGTTTACGTTAGGATAACGTCGAAAAATTGAAAAATGTATCGCTTCAGTTTGAGAAGCACTTCACTTCGCAACCGATGAACCATTCTGACAGTCCACATTACCGTGCAGGCGCCGTGTGTCGGCAGGGACAGTTTGATTTTTATAAAGTACCATCAGTCAAAACTGTATTTTGAGCTTTATCTCTATACATTCTTAGGTGTTTCTTAGTAAATGGGATTAACATTGAGCTGTCCATAGTTGGACGTTGTTGAACTTGTGGTACTTGGACAACGTTTTATGTGAATAGCCAAGTAACCATACAATCACAAAATAACTTTAAATGTAGGTTCAGAGTGAGAGTGAGATATGGTTAGTTGGGTATTCAGATAAAACTATTACTTTAAAAAAACTAATTCTGGTTGTATCTCTTTTTCGTTTGCATGTAACACTATTTGATATTACTAATCATATCAAATCTATGATGTACCGAGCGTTCATTCCGGGTGGTAAGCGAACCTGAAGATGAAGAAGTCCCTTCTCGGAACGATGCTTCAAAGTCGGTTTCTGTGATGGTTGGTATCACAATAAAAAAGAGGTAAAATAGGTAGCACCATCTTCATCGAAATGTAAGTATTGTTGATAATAATCATAACTAAATGATATGCAAATTTATACGATAGGTACCTGGATCAACGATATTTAAACATGCGCATTCAATCTCGACGACATCTAATTCTGCATTTCAACACCTTTACCTCTCCTTTCTCTTATCCTTCACCTAAGCATGCATCTACGCTTCTATGTTAAGGATCAACTTAACCCTCATTTAGTATTCGGCTGATTTCAATCGACTCGCATATGTCATTATCTAAGAGCCATCTCATCTTTATCTATTTGATTGCTGCATGGAAGGTGTACAATTGGTCATCAACATTACACTGGCGACCAGGCGATAAAATTCCACAATTTTTGACCAGAAAATAATCCATTCTATAATCCTAAAGAAGCTTCAAGCGACCTATAATCCTATGCTTGAAGACCGTTTAAAGTTGATAAAAATTTCAATTTTTCAGCCACAATTTTCTACTACAATTAAGGTAAGCTGGCCAACCCTATGGGGCGAAAAGAGCACCAGTATAATCGTTGGCATAAACAGCATTTTGATAGAAAGTGGGGTAACTACTGTAAAGTCCTTATTGGTACAGTTATTTATTTCAACGTTCATTAATTACACAATACATATTCATAAAGTTTCATTCAATTTTACTTCAAGCTATAATTAGTTTCTATATATAATGAGAGAGAGAAGGATTGGTATTTTCCATTTAATTCCACTACTTTATTTGCTTATTCTTGACAGATACGCGTATTTCGTCTACAACGTGCAGACTTCTTCAGTGTCTTGTACTAATACTCGACTGTACAAGACACTGAAGAAGTCTGCACGTTGTAGACGGAATACGTGTATCTGTCAAGAATAAGCAAATAAAGTAGTGGATCTAAATGGAAATTACTAATCCTTCTCTCTCTCATTATACAGGTATTCCACTAAGACGCCCACATTCATCAGGATAGTTTCTATATTTTTTTTAACTTTTTTCTAGCATGTTGAGCTATCCTGACCAACTTAATCGATTTCGTTGTATTGTTGTGTGTGGAATGAATTTTAGGCATTGGTACAATATATTTATTTATGTGTCAACATCAACAGACTCGATATGGTCCCAATGATGGTTTAACTTAAAATTAGTTAGTTAAAAAGGTTAAAATTACAAAACATTAAAACATGATCATTGACGATTTACATTTCTAGAGGGTTTGTCGTGGCAGATACTCGCTGCAGTCCGCCTATTGCACCGTTGATTGCACAGTTTTTCCGAAGTAGTGGCATATTCTCAGCATAACATTGTTACGAAGCATTTGGGTTGGACGTTAATATTTACTTACTTCAAGATTGCGGTGCAATCAATTCTGCCATGTAACGTGTCCGAGACAAACAGGGCTTTTGAAGTATCTCTTCTGTTGCGCTGAGGCTCCAAGTCAATCATCTGGTAACGACTTTCATAGCTGGGCAAATACCTCTTAGGGCAAATGAAACGATTCTCTCCATGGTAACATTCTTAAAGCGTATCGCAGAAAGCGGCGTTGCACGGTCTCGACTCTCTCAGTACCATTGTTGTAGTTCAGACTCCAAATCACAGAACAATAAGCAATACAACACACTTAGTTTTTTCTACCAAGCTCGGTAAATCTCGACAAAAAAAGTTTCACTAAGATCTCAGAAAAAGTGACATTTGATTACTGAGTCTCGGATAGTGCTTAGCTGAATGTCAAGCAAACAAATGAAAATGTTTGCTGAGATCTCAGTAAAACTTTTTTTTTGCCGAGATTTGCACAGCCAAGCTTGGTAGAAAAAAAAACTAAGTGTGAATGACTTGGTACAATGGATGTCGGAGAAATTTTTAGCTGTTCTGAAGATAAAACCCAATGTCCTTGACGACTTGTCTACAACCTACGATATGTGTTGCTTGTATGTAAATTGGCTTGGCTTACACGTTCAATAGTGGTGTTCCGGAGAGCATAGTGGAAAATAACTGGTTCTTTATTTCGAGTAAAGGTGATGATTGAACACTTTGCAGGATGCTCCATCATTCGGTTCAAATGGCACCAGCTGGCAAATGCTTCAAACTGACGTTGGAGGAATTGACAATCATCGATCGAGCAGATTTTGAGATCGTCTGCATATGATAGTCGTGGACCTTCGATAACTATATAAATTCACGTCATTGAAGTAAAGTAAGAAGATCAACGGTCCCAGATGACTTCCTTGAGTATTCCTGACGTAGCTGCGAAAATATCGAACTGACAGTCACCATAGGTTACCACCAACTGCCTATCGGCGAGATATGAGCGAAACCATCTCAAGACCCTAATAAAAAATACCATAAACGAACGATGACCCAAATAATAGCACTATTCCAAAAAATGGTTTGGTTTAGCAAAAGAACTGTGAATAACTGACCATCAATCGAAAAGGAATCTGCCCGATGTCGCCGCACGTCTTACCTCCACGGTGGTTGGTGATTGAGAGTCACAAGTATGCAGTGTCCAGTTCGTTGTCCTCACAACGCTCATCATGGCTGAGAGTCCCTGCGATAGTGCTGAATGTTCAGCACACTGCACTAAGAAGCATTGGGCGCTCTTTGTACCTGCGTTTACTTCGCTAGAGAAGTTCCAGCTGTTATCAGGATTTCCAGTCATCGTAGGTTCAGAATTTGATTGAAAACGACTTAGGGTGTCATTTATTAGGTTCTGCAGCGTGACGTCACAAATGAACTCAGTGTTAAACGGCTGAACCTTTTTGACAGTTCAGTGGTACTGTTTACAAGCACTTAGTCGTTTTTTCGAAAAAATATATTTTAAAATTTCCGAATTTTAACTTGAAAATTGTTGAGGAAATGCGTGGTGAAAGGATGTTGCTCGTGGACATTGCAAAAGTGTGGTTTACAGCTCACTGCAATCTGAAAAATGATCCAGAAAATCTACCCAAGAAAAAATCGACTAAGTCCACGTAAACAGTACCACTGAACTGTCATCAGATTGAGGTTAACCCCGACGGTGCAAAACCTAATTAGGTTTTGCACCGTCGGGGTTAACCTCAATCTGATGACAGTTCAGTGGTACTGTTTACGTGGACTTAGTCGTTTTTTTCTTGGGTAGATTTTCTCAATAATTTTTCAGACTGCATTGAGATGTAAACCACACTTCTGCATTGTCCACGAGCAACATCCTTTCACCGCGCTGTTCCTCGACAATTTTCAAGTTAAAATTCGGAAATTTTAGAATTTGTTTTTTCGAAAAAACGACTAAGTGCTTGTAAACAGTACCACTGAACTGTCAAAAAGGTTCAGCCTATTAACACTGAGTTCATTTGTGACGTCACGCTGCAGAACCTAATACCCGCGAGTATTTTCTTCATACGTTCGATCCGTTCGGCGTTACTGACTTGCATTTTTCGGTGGGGATTGCTTCATGGGTAGATGCGCTCGAGGACATTTTGATTGATTTTGATTTGATTGCGTGACTTAGTATGTCCGCTTCGTCAATGCGCGACCAATCCGATCCGCTTGTCTTGCGCACAATCTTAGTAGATTTGCGTTTTATCGAAGATAACAAATTGATATGATGTCTTCGGTTTTATGCATATAAAAAAAGTAGAAGGGTCTGTGCCTAGGGGCTCGAACGGGAGCTTGACGTAGGACCGCTAATGGACGGAATAAACGTGAAGAGCATTAAGTTCTTTTAATTGATCAATTATCTATTATCTCAACTCTTTCCGTTTTTGAATTGTAGGCGTACCAAATTTGTAGTAATCTTTTTCAAAGAGATAGTTGATCAATCAAAATCACCTGCGCCCCTGCTTCCAAGTTTGAGTGGTCGTTGGGGGCTTGTGGTTCTGAATATGGATAAACAAGCACAGATAAATTCTATTCCAACTCTTTACT